AGCATCGAACATTATGTCAGTGCTAGAATACTTTATCGCACGACGATCCTGTTCATTTTTTGGTGCTGTTGCAGCTATCGGTGTAGCCATAAAAAGGGCCGCCTTCCTAACAACTACGAAACGGGGCCTCAACGCGTTCTGATGTATTCAACGCCAGATTACAGCTAAAGTATTGGAGATACAAAAAAAATGTAAATACTCTTTTTTAAATTTCGATTTTTAAATGTTCTTATTAACGCACTGTTTTCCGCTCAAAACACTCGAAAATCTCTTCTCAATAGAAAAAATAGTATAAGAAACTTGTTTCAAAAGACGCCCCATGGCACTCGTTCATTAGAAAACTCGCCGCGAGCGGCTCGTTTTCTAAATAAATAAATAAATATTTATTTATTGCTCAACAGCAAAGCCAGTTACAGAGCAACATCACAATTAATCTCACCTAGTGGGCACGTGCTAGTAAACACATGCATACTAAACTTAAAACATGTAAGAACAAAAAAAAAAGGTAACATAAAATAGGAGAGCATCCATTCACACTGAAATTTAGCTTCATACTACTGTTATGTAATGACACAATTATAACAAAAATATTATTTCAAGTACCTAGAAAGAAATTATAATTATTTGAGAAAAACCCATAATAGCTACCAGTTATTTACCATGATTAAAAATGACATCTGCAGTGTTTGGATAACAAAGATATTACACTGCTATATCCATACGTAGCTATCATTGACTGTTCGCGGAATACATTTGATACAGGAATTTTTTTATAACGCTTACTTTATCATTAAAGATATCAATGTCGCTATTTAGGGAATTGTACAGTCTCCATAGTCTGATAAGGGGAGAGTTCATATGATGATTTGTATTACATGTCTTATAAGTAAATGTAATATTACTTCTTGAAGCAAGTCTAGGTACATTGAATTGTAACAAAGATAGGAAGTCAATCTGGTAATTCACAAGTTTGCTCAAGTAAACTATAGATACTATATTATGACGATTTTCCACTGAAATAAGATTGAAGGCACTGAGCAGATTCGCATTGCTAACGGTTCTATTCGGATAAACGCCCGATTCTCGAAACAGTAGATATCTTATAAATCATCTCTGCACTCTCTCCCACATATTTATTGAGTGTTTGAACTGAGGATTCCAAACCACACTACCGTAGGTGAGTTTACTTATCACATATGCATTAAAAAGAGTCACGAGCGTATTAATTTGTAGTAGTTTGCCATTCCTTATTATAAATCCCATTATTTTCGAACACTCAGAAGATAATTGCGATACATGATTATTAAATGACAAAATTTCATCAAACTGTATTCCAAGATCACGCACTACCGAAACCCGGTTTAATGCATTACCATTAATTGAGTAATTAAACATTATTTTGTCCTCAACACGTGCAAAAGTCATACAAGTACATTTTTTAAGGTTTAATTGAAGTTTATTAGTAACACACCATTGGGATACGTTATCCAAGTCATTTTGGAGAGTATGGCAATCTTCCTCACTATGTATAGTGTTGTATAGTTTTAAGTCGTCGGCATAGAGTAAACATGGACCCTTCACAACTGATTGTAGGTCATTAATAAACAATAGGAATAGTGTTTGGCCCTAGGTTGGACCCTTGTGGTACCCCACTGCTTGCTACATACGATGTGGACTGGTGACCATTATAACCCACAATTTGAAGTCTATGATACAAATATGATCTGATAACTTGCGATATGTTGCTAAGGATATTATATTTCTCTAACTTTTGAGTTAAAATGTTGTGATTCAATCGATCGAACGCCTTACTGAAGTCGGTGTAAATGACATCTGTTTGAAACCTTTGATCTAAATTTTCTGATATGAATTGCGTAAAACCAATTAAATTTGTCGTTGTTGAGCGCTGTGGCATAAACGCATGTTGACATGAAGATATTTCGTTACGGACAATGGATAAAATGTGTTCACTAATTATGGATTCGAGGATTTTAGAAAAATTGCATATAATTGATATAGGTAAACTTGAACTCGTGCGTTAAACGCGCCACTTATGAAACTTGTTTCTTAATATACTATTTTGTAGGAATTTTTGGTAATATAATATATAATATACGATTTTATTCACGATCATCATTACAATCATTCCATTATCAAAAATAAAATAATTCGCAACCCAATGTTTCCATGTCTAGACAAGAATTGCACTTTTCCACCCAGAAACTGAACAGTAATGGTCTCTCTAAAGTAACAAGCAATTTCATTAAACTCAAGTTTTATATACTTACCGATACTTACCGATCCTTTAATAATTAACGGTTTCTTTTTGCTGTTCTATCTACTTAACCATTTTGCACCGCGCTCGTTTAGTTTTAGGTTACGTGAAACAAAACACTATCTCCCGCAGTCTGGCTAAAGTTAATCACAACTCCTACTTGTGTTTGCTTCGGTCCGCATTTACTTATTTCACTTTTTCGCGTTTGGTCCTTCATTTGCAATTTACAAAAAAAGCACAAAACTTAAAACAATCCATATTACTCATAGGAAGATTAAGGTATTGTTTTTAAAATGCGGTTTTGAATAATTTGCATCTAAATCAGCTGTCATCAGTGTCAGACAGTTACGATGAGAGCGCCATCCATTAGGATATTAGCAACTAAATCGAGGTAGGTAATGAATATTACTAACCTCGAATCGAATATTACTAACCTCGAGAATCTACTTTCCTCCCTCCTGGAAAAATAAGTGTTGTAAAATACTTCCTTATCCTTCAAAATGACAATTATGAGACTGATCACGATCACAATATGATCGTGAATAAACTATATTTTTCATCTAAACTGTTTCTTCCTATCAGTAATAGTTACCGAGATATGGGCAAAAAACTGGAAAAGTGTACCGTTTTTCCAAGATGGCGGCTCGAGCGCAACAGATTTTGACAGGGACTTTTAGTATCTTCAATAGAAACTCCCAATAAATGGGCGCGTTCAGGGACGGTCAGCAGCTGACGGCTGATGCTTAGATGGCTAACAAGTTGCTAAGGTTAGCCACCCATGTTCCCTGAATGACACACTTAAGCTGATGAGTGCCACTTGCATTTGAGGTTATGTTATAAAATATAAATTTTTTAACATGATCGAACCAAATATTGTGGATTTCTTATTCAACGACGATGTAAACTTAAACGGCGTAGTGTATATTCTAGACGATAATGCGGTTGATGATGAGGCCAATCATCATGCGCAGCCTGTGCGTAATGAAAATTACGTTGAAGTTACAGTACCCCAGTACACAGTTAGTGAGTTCAAGAATCACTTTCGAATGTCCCGGATGGCAGTGGAGCAGCTAATAGGTCTTGTTAGTAATCATTTACCCGATAAACATTCGGTTCCGATTGAAAAGCAAGTTCTTTTTTCCATTTGGCTTCTGGCAAAGCAAGAAAGCTTCTTGGCTGTCGGGGACAGATTTAATCTGTCGAGTGGATCAGGCCACTATATTTTTATGAATTTTATTTCTGCGGTGGGTCATTTAACGCACCAATTTATTGAGTGGCCAAATGCGAGAACATCGAAATAGCATCAAGAATAGAAACAAAATATGGTAAATATGTGTAGTTAGAGTAGGGCTCTGGGGTCTCATATAGTACCTGTAATAGGAGTTGCCCCAAAATTTCACACGTTTGCCACTAGGACCACGTATAAAGGTAGTACTGAGAGTTGGGGAGAGGAAATAATTACTTTAACCCAAAAAGGGAAAGCATGTGTAAATCTTGGGGCGGCCCCTACTATCGCTACCTTTGAGTATACTCCTAGGAGTATGATGAAAGTCGCTATTATATCACACTCCAGAGTCCCACTCTATCCCCAATACCTATAGGTAACTAAATAATATATTTACCAGGCATACCAGGTGTCGTGGGTGCTATAGATGGAACCCACATACAAATAAAACAACCAACACATAACCCCGTAGATTTCTTTAATAGAAAAGATGTACACTCGGTGGTTTTACAAGGAATTTGCAACGATAAATTAATATTTACAGATGTATATATTGGTATGCCAGGCCGACTGCATGATGCGCGAATTTTTAGAAATAGCCCAATCTATAATAGACTTGTAAACAATCCTGCTTTATTAACACCACAGCAACACTTACTCGGAGATGCAGCTTATCCGCTGCTTGATAATCTCTTAAAACCATACAGGGATAATGGCCACCTTACAGAAGTACAAATTCGGTTTAACGAAGTGATGAGTAGCATACGGTCGATGATCGAAAGGTGCTTTGGTCTATTGAAAGGTAATGAATATGCTCAAAAGAGAACAAACCTGATTCTTTTTGCAGGAAAATGGAGAAGACTAAAATATCTTGATATGTCTCTAGCAGATAAACTACCTCAAGTTATATTGGCAGCTTGTATTCTGCATAACTTTATTCTGATCATCGATAATGATGCAGATAACCAGAATGACAAAGGTCACAATGGTGATGACATAGGTATACAGCATGCAGAATTTTATGAGGAAGATGTTGGAAGAAATGCAGAAATAAAAAGAGATTATATAGCTTCACTATTGTAATAGGTATATGTACTTATAATAAAACACATTATTCGTTCATAAATATGTCGCTATACAAAGTAAGCATAAGCATTTTACAAAACATGAGAAAAGTTATGTTTGTGAATTTGGAGGTGAATTTAAATATTTTTCGAACAGATCTAATTTTTTCTTCTGAATTTCATTAAAGGTCTCCATTTGAATTCTAATGTTTTTAATCTCTTCTACCTTCTTGGCTTCTATTTCTAATTGTTTTTTACGAAAAACGTCTAATCGTTTCCACTTCGATGAAAGTTGTGGCGTACATGCTTGTACAGATGAGGCATGCGTTGGTGTCGATTGTGGTGATGATCCATTTTCAGTAATAACAATTGGTGTCTTTGGCGGCTGTGAAGAGGCCACCACATTGACAGGTTTCACACTTTTATCACGGGTAAATACTTCCTCGAAGCGATCGAAATATTCCCATGCTATCCTACCTCTACCTGTAGCGACCTTAGTCTTATTATTATCTAAAATTTTTATGTAGGTACTACGCATATTACGCATTTTTTTATCAAGTGCGTCAGATGACACTGTATATCCTTTGTTCTTCATTTTCCCTGCGATCTCATTCCACAGATCTTTTTTTTTATACTTCGGATTTCTAAATTTTTCGATTAACTTTTCGTATTCATCTATGAAGAACAGAATGCTTTGGCGACTCCATCTAAATTTTTCACCTTATAAAATATGTTATTAGTACATGTATTAATTGGTATTCACCTACCTTCTTTACTAGCTTCTGCATCTTGCACAGCATCCAAATTGTTTGTGTCACCACCTTCTAATTCGATCTCTAAAACAGTCGTAAGTAATGCATTACAGGAATAACGTGTATAGTTTGCACCTTCATTATACATCGCATCAACTTCACTTTCATCGACTGTAGTATCGTTTTGGTAATTTAAATAATTACTTGTTGAAGGTGTGGGTACCGGCCGCAACCGTATGGTATTATTTTTACCGACGACGTAATTTTCCACAATAACTACCTTGTTCATCTTGTCCTGCACACTGGTCTACAAGTAATAACTATTTGGCGTGAAAGGTTTAGGTTATTTTTAATGCAGTTCGCATATGAGTTTGCACTTTGCAGTTCTTTTGTGAGGTTATGACGAGAACGCTGACGGCGCTGAGTACAAACAGCTGAAAACTTAAGTGCTAACCTATTTTGTCAGCCGCTGACACAGAATTCTAAGTCAGCGGACGCATTCAGGGTAATTGCTTAGTAAGCTACTTGGCCGCTGACCGTCCCTGAATGAGCCCAATGATTAAAAATATTAGAATGTTAGCCACCTTTGATTATACGCTCAGATGTTCCCATTCTAATATTTTTTCACTGATTAACCTTAATCATCGTTTGTGAAACCGGCCATACAATAGATAAACCCTTGAACTTGGTTTCATTCAATATAAAGTTTATGGAATTTCTTTTTAATTCCGAGAAAAAGTGAACTGAATGACATCAAGTTTAGTGGGTTCTTTAGATTGCAAAATACATTGAAAATACAAAATGTTACAACACTTATTTGAATCCTTTAAGATCTCTCGTTCAAAATTTGTTGATAGGTACCTACTTTTTAATTTAACTATATTAAAAACTGACACGTAGTACTACTTGTGTGAAACTTAACAAACTGCGACGATAGGCCGAGGTTAATTTGAAAGAGAATGGGGAGAGGATGTTGTGCCTACCGGTATTTTTTCCCGGTCCCAGGGTTTATGCAATCATTATTATTAGTTCGCTATTAAAAATAATTAATAGATAGCCAATAGAAACCAAGGTGCATTGCACGTTGTTAACTAACGCACCATCCCCAGCTAAGTGAACCAAACTTAACTTGTTTTAAGAGTCATGTGCAATATGAACATCATGCAGACATGTCGTTATTCACGATCAGACGATATAAGCTCGTGTGAACATCACATCCGTTTTTCACGTATCGAGAATATCGCGATTCGTAATAGATGGAGCGCCGTGTGAACAAAGTGCGACACAGTTATTACAGTGTGAACAGATTGCGAACAGTTTTACGAAGAATACTTAAATCAACAGTATTATGTACATTAGGAAAAGTTAGAGAAACTGGCGGCATCCCACAATACCTAATAGTGTAAGGAAGAAAAAGAAGGTGGAATGACGGTACAGATTAATTGGCATATCTGTAATATAATACATCCTATTTATTAGCCCATAAAGAATAATACCTATAATAACAAATTTAGTTTCCAAAGAATTATTACATTACTACTTTGAAAATTTTCTATAATAATAATAATTTATTGCCATCATAATTGATACAAGAAAATATATATTATACTTTTATTTTTACTTGAATTTAAGCGTAAAATTAATCAGTTGTCGCGCATAATACACGTTTACAGCGTTGCGCTAGATTTGATATAAATACACAGGGCTTTGGCCACGATGGTACACTTACATCTGCATTTCTGTTAAATTATGTCCTTCATCCTTCTACTGTTGATATTCAGCCCATACGCAGTACTGGTATACCCATTTCCTAGTCGTAAGTACTATCGTTTCGTGAGACGATTATTTGACATCTTTTCTTACAGACTGGAGGGGATATGAACCACATGTAGTAGTAGGTTAAATCGGATATGCGTGAGAAAGATACTTAATGTTTTGTTTTTGCAGAATAATATATATGGAACATGGGAAATTTTACCTACGAGTAGATCTAGATTAGTTGACCCCGATTGTGTTAATTGTGTGTCTGGTAAAGTGGATGACACCAATATACAAGACAATGTCAAGGCACGGGTGGATAACACCAATAAACGAGGCAAGGCCCACGCCAGGCTTGGGCAGACATCGTCAATGTATCCAACGTATTTACTCTTCCCATATTGACGGAAATTGCGAAATCGTTTGGGTAAACGTTGTTTTTAGTTATGTATATAACAAAAAAATTTCTCGTAATATCGCACAAATCAACGTAGACAAATACTCGATTGGCTACTATTTTTCACGGCCGTTTGTAATTATAATTTTCTTCGATAAGTATCACTACTTTCACTATTAAATAAATGCTTTAGAAAATCCATATGTTGTTACATATTTTATCTCTCCCTTCTTGATACCACTTTACCTCCTTGTTGTGCAAATGGAACTTATCACTATCATTGGCACCGGAACACATAACACTGACATCAAATTTGAGTGTATCATGGCAATTATGTGGTAAATAGGCTCCTTATAGGTATATAAACACATTATAAGCGCTCCTTCCCCAAAAGAGTAAAACGCAATAAATATTCCTGTATGCTGCGCACAAATAGGTGCGGGTGGTATTTCTTCTAGAACGATGATGGTGTCGGGCGACGTTGCTGTCAGAGTTCTTTTAAAGAATTCGGTGTTCAGAGATTTGATGTGGTCCACCAGGAACTTAATGTTTGCAAATTTTAGAGGTTTTCATTCCAGAATGTTTTTTGTTCTGGCCAACTTTGTACAGTTTCATAGCTTCGGGCATTCCACTATATGTAAATGTTATTTGCGCTGCTTGACCTCAGTGTACTTCGAACATCGGGCTTTAGAGATTCCCGGTACAGTAGCCTTTAACCGAGGCGCTAGCCAACATTTACTAGACTGTTATTATTCGATCTCCCTCTCTTAACTGCCCGTCGGATCGTAAGGAATGTCCCACACATATGCAGGCAAATCGATTTTTTACAGCTTTTTAATCAACTCCCAATATAGACCTCGGAGTTGTCAACAATGTCATGTTTTATCGTTTCCTCTTTTATTATCGCGAAATGTCTATCGATCGGCATCAGGATGTATTATTTCTATGGAATTAAAAGTTCCATTAATGCATAGTTTGATTAATATAATCTTCTAAGCAACTTATTACTTCATTAGGGTCTTTTTGAACAAAATGCTCAGCATCTTTGATTATATAATACATCTATATTCAAAGCTCAGCATACATATAGATACATACTCGTAGATGCTGTTCATTTATTAAGACAGTGACAGTGATCTTTATCAGCTGTTGCGTCATTCATTTTGATTCTAAACACTTCGGTCTTCCTTAAGTGTAACTCTTTGTTTATATTTAATGATGCTTGAAACTTTTCGTCATTTTTAACCTGAGCAAGTTGTAAACGAGTTACAAAGTTTATTATCGACCCGGGAATAGTGCGAGTTGCGAGCCTGTAGTTCTTCTATGAATTTGCGAACAGCATCCAAAACGACTGGTTTTGTTCTGTTCGGCCTTGATTGATGTTCCCTAAGATCTCTGAAGGATGCTTGCTTCAAAACTTTCCTTCGAAGTCGGGAACGCTTTATCCCATGTATATCCTGGTTGTCTGGCAAACCCTTGTTGTCTTCTCATTGGTTTTTACTACATACCGAAATGTATTTCGTACACGTACCGAATTTTCTTTTCTGGGACGTACACGTTTGACGCTATCTGGTTGAACACATCTTTTATTTAAAGAGGTATGCACATTTTAAGGTTACCAACGAAGAGATTACCTTTGATTTTCTTTTAGGCTTCAAGTTCAAGTCTAGTTTTAATTTTGGGTTCAAGTTGGCTTCTAAGGCCCGGTTGTTCAATCATGGTTTAAACTGTAGATTAGCTTAAACTGGCGTTTAAAGCTGTAAGCTTAGTTTAATGCATTGCACCACTGCGGTTTAACGTTAAACTCGGTTTAGATTAGAGGTTTAACTAAACGGTGAAAGAGGGCCGTTTAACGGTCCTAAACCGTCAAACATAACCCCAAATACCTACATAATCAAACAAACGCGAAAACGTTATTCTTGTCATTTTGGGCTGTTGGTTTCATGGTTTGTTAATCAAGATGAACTACACGGATTTTGATAAGCCAATTACTGATGATGAAGGTTTTTTGGAGCTAATGCAGCCGTTTTTGGACGATGAAGAAGAACCTCTCATTCCAAGCAATTCCTCTATTTGCTCGTCTACATCCGTCGTTATTATTTTCTTCGCTGGCCCTTCCCCAGTAGCATTTAAATATCTCTTTTTATTTGCAAATTTTTTCTTTAAAACCTTTTTTTGCTTCTGAGTGTTTTCGCATCCCTTCCTTGACCTCCTGCAGCATTAAACTCCTCAGCCTCATGCAGCGTCTTTGATGCGGTTATTAAGAACGTCGGTTTTTTTACACTCTATTGTTGCTCGAAACTTTTTGACGAGCTGCAGAAGCATCGCATCGTTGGATTGAAGTTTACAGATCGTGGTCGCTTCCGTACTAAATCACCATTCTCCATTTCCAAACGGTGTTACTAGCCATGATTAATTACACAAAAAATACAGACACTATTTCAATCACGAACAAAACAACATACACGCTTGTAAACAAACCAAATTTGAAGTTTGAATAGCGTAAACGTCAAAATTTGAGCGGATTACAGTGTTGCCATCAATAGAAATTTCATTAAACGCAGTTTAGTTAAACTCTCCCTAAACTGCGAATGAGCAACGCAATAAAAGATTAACTGTGGATTATCTTAAACTACAGATTACCTAATCTGCAGTTTAAACCGTGATTGAACAACCGGCCCTTAATTGTTGCCAGTTGAACGGACCAGTACAAATTGAATTTAATTCAACCGTAAGGATCGGCTTAAGTTGGGGGACGCTTTACCTACCATTCTGTCTGCTGCCAACATATTTTGGCATATCTACCATCTGCTGATACGGAGGCATGGAGCCGCCATTTGCTGAAATTAGGTCACTGGGTAATGCACCAGATTTGATATCAAGGAGTCGATCGTTAACCATGAAACAACTTCCGTAACTGTTTATCGTAATAATTGATCATTATTTTGTCCCTACCGCATTCAATTAATTTGTTACCTTCAGTACCTATCTATTATCTTTGCGTACTCTGTTAAGTTATGGTCGCGTTTTTCACGTAAATGTTATAGTATCCCACCACTTCCTTCTGGAGAGGTTAGCCGAGTATCGTACTTGTGATAGAAGCTTACTACGTGTAAGGCATTGTTCAGTTCATTGCATTCCGAGCTCTGCGGCTAGGAAGTTTTCGGTTGTTTGCATTTCATGTTTCACTTGCATTTGGCCTACATGTGCCAATTGATGTTCGGGACACCAATTTATTTGTGGAAACCTGCTTAAGATCAAGTCATCAATTTAATCGATCATTATTGATTGGGGTTTTATTAAATTGGAAGATTTCAGTTGCAACGTCAAGTTACTAGGATTTGTGCGTAACTTAACTTATAATTTTGAACATTTGAATATTTGTGCATTACGCTATCCCATAAATTCATTGTGGGGACCATTTTTATTTTGCCATTTAGTGACAATAAACCAGCATTTATTTTGGTACTTGAATTGATTTGTACTCTTTGTAATCCCCCCGTATCGTCTCAATTTCATGTGTTACGGGTTACCTCAGAAATTGGGTGGCGCTCAACCCTTGATAAGTGCACCGAAGGTAAGAAGATCAGTTTACCCAGAACGAACTGCCGCCGTGGAAGATTCTCAAGCTCTTGTTTATGCGGCGGGTTTGAGGTAACGCAGCGCCAACTCTACCTATCCGTTATATGTTGAAAGAAACCGTTGGCCGCCAAGACCAGCTGATCTAACTCTCTTGTATTACTTTTTATTTGGTCATCTAAAAAACATTATTTATAGCAATCGCTTAAACACCATTGAAGAATTTCGTGCAGCTATAGAAGCGACTATTCATAACATAACACAACAGCAACTTCATGCACTTTTCTAAAACATGAAGTAGAGAGTGAATTCGTATCTCCTTTACGGCGGTGCCCAGTAGTGTATAGCTACAGTATCAATTGTGTTGCGGCAAATGTCATGTTTCATAAGAGCGGCACAGACAATGATTAATGATCGCTCTGTATATTACGTTGAATTGATTATATTTGACCCTTCCGATCCTCATCCTCATTTCCACCTTATTTTGTGTACAGTACAACACATTCAATTGGTTGTATACCTGGGTTAGGGTTTGTATTCCTTCTAAGCACTGAAAATGGGGCGACCTTCACATTCAGATGGTAGCCTCACCTGCTATATCATTGTTTGTTGGGCTACTCTCCCCTTCGGCATTCCAGAGTGGGTTTCGGACCGGTTCTAGTTATTAGTTATTTAGTACATCGAAATCGTTCAGTAACGTCGTATGTTCCGTTATGGCTACTGTCATTGAATAATAGTTATTCATATGCGAGAAAAGACGCCAACCCAATGTTCGTGTGGAGAGCGATCAATATGGCCTCATCTTTTGATAGCGTTTTTTGTTGTGGGAAAGACATCGACCTTCTCGTCCTTCTAACAGCACTGGCGAGAACGCATCCGAATGTTAATTATGTTTTAAATCGGACAAGGACAAAGCCTCAGAAGTAGTTTTTTTTCTTCAAAGAGTTTGCAAGGTGGCCAAGTAGTGTACCGTTTTTGGAAGCATTCACTCATTCTGTGGCTGAGATACCACTTCAGCGATCTTCAGCCAAGGAAAAGTTCTTTAATGTCCTCGAAAAGTCCAAAGCATTGCATCGAGCTGTACAAGTATACAGGTATTTAAAGAACACCATATAGCTGTGTTAGGAGAACAGTTCTTGACCACACTGTAACTCAAATTCGTGTCCTGTAGATGCAAAAAAAAAGGTTGTGGTCCAGCATGTGTCTGTAGAAAAGCGGGTTTAAAATGCTCCATCATTTGCATATCACTGAAGTTTCTATTAACGAGGAAACCGAAGATGAAACCCAGATCGCCGTTAACTATCTTTTCGCTACTGAAGATGGTGACGAAGAAAAAGATACTGAAGAGGCTGTCGAAGAGGATAATATCGAAGAGGACGATGACACTCAACCAATCCCAGAAATTGACATTGATCAACCTGGTCATTCCAGAACATCCAAACGGTTAAAAATATTGCCGATCCATTTCGATTGTTTTTCACGTCACGTCTATCACATCACGCTATGTGTGGTAAATTCCCAAGGCATATCCCTCCCGGTAAATTAAACCTTCATTGAATTTAAAAGCATGTGACGATAGACTCAGGGAAAAACCTTAAGGAGAAACGCAGTCTGAAGATAGA